TACATATTTTGCTATTACAGTACACATTCTCATGGCCCATAAAGAAATGGCATAATAACAATAATAATAATACAAGTTAATATAAGGGTTGCTGTGATTCAAATACTATTCTAGACACTTACATGGTTTAGCTCACTAAATTCTCAGAAAAAAACCTTATGGAAGATTTTTCTTCCCATTTTATTAAGGAAGATCCTGAACCACCAAAGAGACTAAGAATTTATTTCAATATTGCCTGGCTCATAAGTGGCATAGCTAGGATTTTAACCCAGGTGATTTGATTCCAAACTTTGTCCACTCCCCTACTGTACTATATTTCCTCTTTTGTTTATAGTGGTATAGAAACTGGCCTGGTATAAAGGCCTCATCTCATCAGAAACTATAACAGCATTACCAACAACTGCAGACAATCCGTGTTACCTATTCGTCTTCTGTATCTCTACAGATAGATTGCATTTATTTTTATATTTTGTATCAGTTTGATTTATTCTTTTCTTCATGCCCATTCAATTTAAGCACAATACCTGTCTCACAGTAGACACTGAGTAAACAACATTTGCTGAATAGATTGCCCAGAATGCTTGTATGTGTTATGAGCGCAATGTGTGTACTGACGGTTCTCGGCACAGACCCAGGATCTGTGCTGCCTGGGCTTACTTCTAGCGCTATCCAGTCACTATTTGTAAGAACTTGGGCAAACTACTTGTCCTTTTTATGTCTCAAATTATCACCTGCATGATGGGAACACAAATAATATCAGCCTCAATTATATTATATAATATATAATATAATATAAATTATATTAAATATGTTTATGTCATATGTTATATTAAATGGCAAATGCATATATTAATAAAATACTTGAACAATGGTTGACAGAGGGAGAGAGAGAAGGAAAGAGAAAGGGGGATAGGAGGAAGTTGGGAGAGGAGGGGGAAACAAAAATTAGAAGAGGAAAAATGTGCCATAGATGATAAGTCTTAGTAAATGCAACCATTCAAATTCAAATGCAGCCATTTTTTTTATCTTTTTGGTTTTGTGTTTCTAATTTCTACTAGACTTTGTCAGAGGTGTTCAATTCTTCTTAGCATAGTTTTAAAATTCTCTTATTGGTTCTTGACTTCTACTGTGTATGTATTTTTATTCTTTACCTGATTCTGCTAATGTTGCTCTAAATCAAAGATGCAACCAGCCTATAAGCTACAGACTCAAAAAAGAGAAAGGAAATGATCCTCTTTCATAACATTGTTATCTCAGAAAATTATAAGTGTACTTTTTAACTATCCAGATAACCTTCATTATTAACTGTATATAATTACTAAGCAATAATTCAGAGGATCTAATATTCAATAATGGAAAGTAAAAGAGTAGTTAATTCTATATGACTATTCAAAATGTTTTACTCTTACTATAAAGGATCTACTATAAGTATCTAATTTGATTTAATAAATATTTGTATAGTGTGTTCTCCCAAGTCAAAGGCACTAATTACTTTAGAGTATTTTATTACATATCTCTATTTTTAATGTGTCTTAAGCTAGTATATCATTATGACAGAAAACTCAAGTGTTTCTAACTGTATTGGACTGGCAGTTTGGACTATGCCATTGACTATGCCAATGACTATGCCATTACCCTAATGTGAAAGTGTGACACTTGTGATCTGTTTACAAACAAAGCCTTTAAAATTTTTTTAATCAAGTTAAAATATATAGAGAGCAGAAAATTCCTTAAATATAATCTATACCCTTCTATAAACTTCTATTTCTTAGACAATTAAGCAAAATAAGCTACCAATGGCAATTAATATTTGATATAGTTAATTTGAAACACAACAATAATAACAACAAAGAAGGCAAAACCATGTCTAGCTATTGCACATACTATAACAGCAACGAAAGCAAAAGAAAACAAATGAGAACAAAAGGAGACTAGATATATTTTTTATCTGTATAATAAGTGCATCACATATGTTGTAAAAAAGTAATGATACATCCATTATTTACAAAAGCAGATGACTTTTATATCAATAGAATGAAACAACATGAACTAACCCCATACATTATGGAAGAATAATTTATTGAGATTGCTGCTCTGTTGGCTCTAATATATATAACTTAAAAGTGTTAGACATTAATTCTCAATGTCTAGCCATCCTACAAGGCCAATGTATTCACCTGACTTTATCCTGAAAAAGTATAATATGCTGACAAACATTTCTAGCTTAGATAGAGTCATTTCCTTTAAAAATTTGTAATACAAATTTCAAATATTATTTTGCCTTAGAAGAATAGTGAGTATATTAAAACTGGAAAGCAAACAAATAGCTAGGACCAAAGGAAATTCTAGAAAATATCTATGTTATTTGTGGTAATATGAGACCAAGGGACAGCAACATGACCTAAATTTCTTGTCCCGATAGGAGGAAAAAACTGCCATCCTATTTGTTGTTGTTGTTATTAAAGTAAAATCATATTAAAAAGAAATATTGATGAAACAGAGCTCCCCATTTCTTAAGTATGGGCTGCATATAGTGACTTTTTTCCAAAAAGTACAGTATGGAAAGAATTATAAAAGAATATTTTCACAATGAAGAAATTTGACAAGCATTCCCTCAGCAAGGAATTCAAGGCCAATATCAGCAGTTATAAGTCATGTTCATAATATTAAATATATAGCTTATATATGAAGGGATGAAAATGGCACTTTACTTCCCCGGTCTTCCTTCCGACAACCCATAATCCCAGTCTAATTATGAGAAAAACATCAGAATGGAGGGACATTCTCCAAAATGTCTGACGAGTACTCAAAACTGTCAAGGTCAGCAAATACAAATAAACTCTAAGAAATTGTCACAAGCAGGACAAACCTAAAGAGATTAAATGTAATGTGATATCCTGGAATGCCGGAATAGTAAAATGGAAATTGGGTAAAAACCAAGAAATCTGAAAAAATTAGAGCTGTAGTTAAAAATAATATATTAATATTGGTTAATTAATTATGACCAATGTATCACACTAAGATATTGATATTGGGGGAAATTGGTCAAGTATAATGGCTCATGCCTGTAACTCCAGCACTCTTGGAGGCTAAGGCAGGAGAATCCCTTGAAGCCAGGATTTCAAGATCAGCCTGAGCAAAAGTGAGACCCCATCTCTACAAAAAATAGAAAAATTAACCAGGTGCAGTAGTGTGGGCCCATAGTCCCAGCTACTCAGGAGGCTGAGGCAAGAGGACTACTGGAGTCCAGCAATTTGAGGTTGCTGTGAGGTGTGCTGATGCATTGCACTCTACTCAGGGCAACAGAGCAAGACTCTATTTTAAATATGTTTGTGTGTGTGTGGTGTGTATATATATATATATACATATAAGTCATATATATGGGAAAATTGAGTGCAGGGTATATGAGAAAAACTATTTTTATAACTTTTTAGAAATATAAAACTACTCTAAAAGAAAAAGGTTATTAAAAGCAAAGACGAACATAAAATATAGAAAAAGTTGTAGAGATTGAAATGCAAAGTAACTTGTTAAAATAATTCTAAATATTTCAATAGGGTAACAAACAAAAATAAACTGCATTTTTCAGTTAAAAAACAGAAATTGTCAAATTGACTTAAATTAATCTAGTAATATTTTGTTTTAAGATATAAAGCAAAAATAAGAAGTCTTAAGGTAAAGTAAGAGAAAAATATCTTACCAATTATAAACAAAAGAAAGTTAATATCACTAAATTAATAGTAAAAAATGGATTTTATTGCAATAAGCATATTTTAGAAATAAAAGGAATCATGACAAAGTGATAATATATTTACTTCACTAGGAGAAAACAGCAATTGTGAACATGTATATATCAAGAATATATGAAAAAATTGAGTGACCTACTACAAGAAAATGACAAATAATTATCAGTAGAATGTTTTAACATATATCATTCAAGCATCAAGAACTTTCTTAGAAATAGAGCAAAGATAGAAAAGATTTAAATACCAAAAACAATTGAAAAATCCAACCTAATGAGTGGAAATGTAAGGAATTCTGTATACAACACTTAAAGAATATCAATTTTTCCCAATCAAAAATGAAATATTTATAAAAATCATTACTCAATTGACAGAAAGCAAATTAATCTAAGTTTTATGGAATGGATATCATGTAGAGCATAGAGTTAGAAGTTAATGAAAAATGAAATAGGTTTAATTTTAAAGAATAGAATTTTAAAGATTAAATATAGTACTAAATTAGAAATTAATAAGAAAAAGATAAATATAAATGTACTTATATTATTATAAATTTAAATATGTTTCAAAATAATATATTAGTCAAAGAAAAATCATAGATAGAATTTTTAGATACTTAGTACTAAGTGGCATTTTAAAAAACAAATGGAAACTTTATAGGCAAACTTGTAAGGTGAAGCTACTGAAATCCTTCTCATAAAGATTTCTGCCTAAACACTTACACCTGGAAATATAAAAGGTTAAAAATGAATTACGCATTTGATCCAGCAATCCCACTACTGGGCATCTACCCAAAAGAACAAAGGACACTCTACAATAAAGATACCTTCTCTCAAATGTTTATAGCAGCACAATTCACAATTGCAAAGCCTAGGAAACAACTCAACTGCCCATCAATACATGAGTGGATTAATAAAATGTGGTATATGTATACCATAGAGTACTATTCAGCTCTAAGAAACAATGGTGATATAGCACACCTTCTATTTTCCTGGATAGAGCTGGAACCCATACTACTAAGTGAAGTATCCCAAGAATGGAAAAACAAGCACTACATATACTCACCAGCAAATTGGTATTAACGGATCAACACCTAAGTGGACATATAGGAATAACATTTATTGGGTGTTGGGCAGGTGGGAGGGGGGAGGGGGGTTGAGAATATACATACATAATGAGTGAGATGTGCACCGTCTGGGGGATGGTCACGCTTAAAGCTCTGACTTGAGGGGAGCAGGGGGCAAGGGCAATATACATAACCTTAAAATTTGTACCCTCATAATATGCTGAAATAAAAAAATTGAATTACGCTAATGAAGTGAGAAGTTAGGAAAAGAGCAACAACAAAAGAAGCATATAATAAATATAAGATTCAAATCAATGAAATAAAAAACAAGAGTTAGGAACTAGTGTTTCAATCAATGATAGTCTAACAGTTCAGGCTCTATTGGATTAATCTCCTACAGAAAAGAGGTATAAAACTGTACATTATACCAAAAAATGTAAGCAGGTACTTACTGAAGTTTTCACTGAGAGTGAACAGATGCAGGGAGACCTACGAAGAATATACACACAGAGGAGGAGAAAATAGTTCCTTGTGTTTTTGTTGTTGTTGTTATTTTTGTTTTGTTTAGGTTTTATTGCATAGTTTTAGTCTGGGCCTATCTGCAGTTAGCTGGCACATGCCAGATGTTGGTTATGATGCCTAGAAAAATCAAAGTCTTTCTAGCTTGGAGAAAATAAAAATGCCTATATAATCCTGTAATGTACTAAAAAGAAACAAACAAAAAAGACCAAATATTTAAATAATATTTAAATATTTAAATAATTACAAATGTTTAAACAATTAAATGATTAAATTGTTTAATTAATAATCAAGCATTAATTATTTAATAATTAATCAAATAATTATTTAATATTTATTACAAATAATTATTTATTCATTTTAAATAATTAAAAATGTTTCCACAACAATGATGTTACTAGCTTCAAGCCACAAGTCATCTCAATTATATTAAACTCTTCCAGATAATAGGAAAAAAATAAAAGCTTACTTTCCAGTGCATTTCCATTGTCTTCACATTGAGTAGGCTGAGGAGAAGAAAACAGGAAATGTTGGTCCTGTTGTCTCAGGAGTGGCAGAGGCAGAAGAAAATTCATGTTCTAAGTGGGCCTGTGCAGTTCAAACCAGTGTTGTTCAAGGGGCAGCTGTATATAAAAAGTGTGTTTGTTTGTGTGATCATTTGCTTGTATCTCCAAGTAGACGTCCAAGGGCAGGCTCCCACTCTAGACGTGCAGTCCTCAAGCCCTGGGCAGCACACAGGTACTGGTCCGCGGCCTGTTGGGAACCAGGCTGCGCAGCAGGAGGTGAGCGGTGAGGGACAGAAGCTTCCTCTGTATCTACAGCCATTGCCCATGGCTTGCATCACTGCCGGAGCTTCGCCTGGAAACACTGTCTTCCATGAAACCAGTCGCTGTTGCCGAAAATGTCGGAGACTACTGCTCTAGACCATGTGCAGACAAATATTTGTTGGAAAGCATGACTACATTGGTGACCGTTTTAAAATGTTATAGTAAAAAATATGCCTTGATTTTCATTGGCATGTATATATTCTCGTCAGTATCCTCATATGTGTTTGTGTTTATATATGACTTTGAATATTTTATCTTTTCTGATACTTTTGTCTCTTTTAAAATTCTCCACTTCAAGACAAAATTGACTTAAGGGTCATTTAACCCTTAAGATGTTATGCATAAAAAGCAGTCACAAATGCTGAATTCTTCCTGATCATGTTGCTGCCAAAGATTTAATTCTCAGCTCTCGTGTTTGATTTTCTAATAGCTATGGTACAGTACTGCTGAGCTAGTTTTGGATCAATGCCACTGGGACCTCTCTCTCTGCCTTGCGTTCCTGCGTGAAGCATTCTTTACCCTCCTTCTCCAGTTAGCCAGTTAGTAAAACCTTTCTTCCTAATTTCCCATTAAGTATGTGTGTACATATATATGCACACACACACACACACACACGCACTATAAAATTTATTTACATGTTTCTTCAGTTACTTGTTTTTATATTGGCCATTTAGATTAGAGAGTAAACACATTGGTAATAAGACATTTTCTTGGCACAAATATTTTGTGAAATAATAAATGAATGAATTAATGAATAAAACATTTCTAAATTTAAAGAATACATCTGATTTTTCATCCAAAGTTGAATACACTTGTGAGTGACTATGTGAGCCCAATTCAGGAAAACATAAAATTATTTTCAAGCCAATATTTTTAAAGAATATAACTTTTATATGGAAATATATTGCCTGCATTTAATTTGACTTTGTTTTATTTTGAAAAATAATTTACAAATTGAAGACATTCTGCATAGACTAATAGTACAAAACCCTGATCAAAAGCATGCCTTGAAAGAGGCATTCCAATTTAGTGCCTCACTACGTGTTGTTGCCTAGAGCTGTAGATCCATTCAGGGATGTTTTTGAAAAAAGAGATATCTTTTACTACATGCCAAGATGTCAAGGAATTAAGCAATTATTGAAGTATTGGCTTTTTCAGACCCAGAAATAGCTGGGAGTGAGAAGAGCAAAACTCAAGTAATAATCATACTAGTTTAAGCTTGACCTTGATAATGATTTTATTAGATAACTCGACTTTATACTCAGTCCTGTTAAAATTTCATGCTGTTGTATAAACTATATTTTAAATATGAATGGACCTTTTATGTACCTTCCTATTGTACTTCTAGCTATACAGTTTCAGCAATTCTTTGATTTAACATCCATGCAGACTGCTAGCAAGTTGTACGCTCTTTCTCTCAAAGGCTTGACCACTGGTCTGTGATACAGATTTAATTAAGAGTTGTTCTCTATCACTATCTGTTTGTACACCTAGCACCAATACAAATGACAAAGTGAAAATGCCATAGACTGGGTAAATAAAATGCTTCGTTATGATTTTTCAAAAGACCCATGAAAATGTAAAGTATATTATTATGTTCTTAAAGACAATAAACATAATTCTGTTTTTTAAAGTCATCATGTTGTTGTACATTATCTACTCCAAAAAGTTACTTAGCAAGCCTTTTGGTTTGTTTTGTTTTGTTGCTTTTTAAAACAGGACTTGTAGAGACCACAGCTCTGTATTGGCAAAGTGCTCATGTGTAAAAATCAGTAATTGATTGGTAGTGATAGTTTGCTGTACAATTTGTCAAGAAAGAGCAGTAAATAATAAAATTGCCACAATCACTTACATTGTTTTGGGTCCATTTATGTAGTATATGTGCTGTTGAAGTGAGCACATCGGGTCCATTTATGCAATATACTCTTAAGGAATTCTTTTGAATAAGTTTATTTACAAACAAATGAACCCTATTTTTCATGTTTTCATTAAAAGTTAATTTAATTAAATAATTACATAACTGATAAAACCACCAAGATAATAAACATTTTAAGGTTTTAAAACTCTCACTCTATGTATAGTTTTCAGCAATTTCACAAGCATAATTTCCTAGTACACTAATATCATTTAATTTGTGAAATATCTTGTTGTAGTGAGAGAAATCACACACATACACATCCTATAACATGAGGTCACATCAGTGGTATTTTTAGCCAACAGAATAGAAACTTAATGGCAATAAGGTGGCTGCACTCAGCAGGAAGAGACGAGGCCTGTCTGGGTGTGAGTTCCTCATGTTCCCAGGGTTCTAAGGTGGACACACTGCAGCTGGTGACAGTGTCTGGGTAAGAAAGTGACTTGCTGGATATGAACAGCTCAATACTTCTGTACTAACATCATCACTTAAAAATTTAAAAAAAAAAAAAACACAAAAAAACAAAAAAAACCACTATGTGCTTCCTTTAAAAAAACACTTATTGTCACTTCACTCTCCTGTTTCGTAAAACAACCTTAACATTAGCAAAGATGTGTATCCACTTTAAAGTAGAAACTCAAGTAAAATCAGTGGCCAGGGGACCTTCAACAATATCTTTGGTGCTCAGTTTTCCCGTGTCCAGAAATGCTCATTTTCTTGCAAAATTTTGTCATAAACATATTTTTATGCTACCTCCCAAATTTCATGATTTGTCCTTTTAATGTTAGTAATGGAATAAATGTCAGACCTAATAATTATTAAGAGCTTCAAAATTTTCAGGACATTTTTTAACTAACATCATCACCATTTTATCATCTCAATAATCCAAAATGCATATTTTATTTATATCAAACGAAAGAAGAAATGACAGTGTAGAAAAATTAAGAAAATGTCAGGTTTTAGTACTGCAAAATTTATGTTCTGTACCTGCAATATGGCATTAAAATTTATTATGTCATTCCTATAATATTGGGTATCCATGTTTAGTCTTTTTCAATATCTCACAATCAAGCTTTAAAATTTTCCACATGGAAGAACTGCATATATTTTATATGATTTATTCCTAAGTACTTGCTTTTTAATGCTATTGCAAAGCATGCCTTTTTAAAATTACATTTTCTAGGCCTTTATTGTTTTATTAAAATGCAATTGATGTTTGTAAATTAATATTACAGGTTTTATTTTTCTGTGTTCCAACTAGAAAATTTTTAATTTCTTACTCTTGCCTTATTAAGCTAGCTCCCACAGTAATATATGCTTACAGTGGTATCTCTACCTTGTTTCTGATTTTAAGGAATGCTTTCTATTAAGCTAAAATTGTGTGTTATAGAGTTTTTTCCAATATATACAATTTCTCAGGATATCCGCATCTTTTATTCCCAATTTACTTAATCTTTATCATAAATCTATAATGAGTTCTATAATTTTTGTATATCTGTTGAGGGGTTCAAATTAATATTTTAATGTTTTATTTTCATAAATTAGATTTAAGTGTTTCCTTATATTCTTGTCTTCCAAGTAAATAATCCAATTTCTCTTTTATTACCTTTTATATAGTTGCCTTTTATTGCTAATCTTTTGTTTAGGGTTTTTACATGTTTATTTATAAATGGAATTCACTTACAGACTTTCTCTACTGTTTTGCCCTTATCAAAGGTACATTGCCAAGTGTGCAGTCATCCTTTATGAAGATAAACTTTCACTTAATGAATAATAAATGTTTTTTTCTCTTCCTTACGATTTTCTTAACAATGTTTTCTTTTCTCTAGCTTACTTTATTGTAAGAATACAGTATGTGATACATACACAAAACATGTGTTAATCGACTGTTTATGTTGTCAGTACGCTCCTGGTCAGCAGCGGGCTGCGGGACGTTAGGTTTTGGAGCAGTATGTGGAGGGTCGGCACCTCTGACCCCCTCATCATTCCGGGTCAACTGTCACTGAAAAGTGTTACAAGCAAGAAATATTGGTGGCTATGAAAAATTATAATATTAAGATCTCATTTAGATTAGGGAAAAGGAAAGATCTCTTTGAGGGAGTGTTAATTAAACTGAAATCTAAAGAATAGAGAGGAACTACCTAAAGAAAGTGGTAAAGCAAATTATGTCTCTGTGTGGCTTAAAAAGACAAAACAAAACAAAATAAAAACACATTATAAGTACCACTGAAAATATTATTAAAACATTATCACTTAAAAATAGAATTTAAAGGGAGATTAACAAAAAATGTTTCACTTCATTATAGAGACTACATGCTTTAAGTCCATTAAATTTGAAACTGAATTCGTCAAGTTCAACACTTTTACCCAAGACTGAATTTGAGGAGTTCTCCACTTGACAATCTGATAGTTCCCCTTCTGTTTTCTTTCATTAAAGATCTATTAAACTCCTGAAGAGACAAGAATGTTGTTAAATGTGGAGGAAATGATCCCTGAATCTATAGACTTCACACTTTAGTGTGAGACACAAACAGAAAAATGTGAGGATGTAACTCTGAAGTGGCAATTATATATGGTCAGTGAAATAAGCAGTTGCAAATAAAGTTCTTGGGTTGGCAAGAAAGTTAAGAGCTGATGTTACAGTTCAGAATGGGTATTGCAGTTGAAGATATGGAAACAAATGGCACGCCTTTTCCCAAATTGTGTTATGCAGAGGTACAATGAATGGCCACAACAGGAGCCATTCACCAAATTCCCTTGTCCA